CATGTGTGGCGTTCCCCAAGGTTCAATACTAGGGCCTTTGTTTTTTCTGCTCTACATCAACAATATAATCAACACGTCAACAATATTACAACTGATATTATTTGCCGATGATACAAACGTATTTGTGTCTCACAAGGATAAAGACTGCCTTACTAATATACTGAACGCTGAGCTAAATAAGTTGTCAATATGGTTTAGAGCTAACAGGCTTTCATTAAACTTGAAAAAAAAAACAAATTCATTGCATTTAAACCATCCCACAAGCGTACAAATCAAACTATTCAACTTTTAATTAATAGTCAAAAAATTGATCAAGTAAAAGAAACACTTTTCTTGAGAGTAATCATGGATGAAAATTTAAATTCGAAATCTGAAATCTCACATGTCGCCAATAAAGTTTCTAAATGCACAGGAATTATTCGTAAATCCAGTTTCTATTTATCCACGAAAACCTTACGAACACTATATTTTTCTCTAGTCTATCCATACCTTTTTTACTGCAACTTAGTTTGGGCCTCTACTTACAGAACTAACCTTATTCGTCTTGAGATTTTACAGAAACGAGTGATCAGAACTATAGGTAAAACCCCTTTCGATGCACATACTGATCCAATCTTTCAAAATCTTGGTATCTTAAAATTTCATAATATATACTTAATGCAACTATGCTTATTCATGTACTCCTATCAAAACCATACTCTACCTTTAAAATTTCATTGTAAATTTACCTTACAAAATCAAATTCATTCGTATAATACAGGAAACTCGTGTAAATTTCGTCTGCCTTTCTGTCATACTCGAACCAAACAATTTTCCGTTTTTTATCAAGGACCCAAATTTTACAACACCTTAAACACCAACATCATCAACGCTTCCTCACCTTTCTCCTTTAAAAGAGCACTTAAGGCATTTATTTGTAATAATTATTAGTATACTCCAACAAAAATCTTGGGAAAAAGCCTTTTAATATTCAACATTTGTAAACTTCCGTAATGTTGATTAGTTTAATTTTTCACCTGATATTATATTGTATCCATCGCTGTAATTTTTATGCCATCTTCGAAAAATTGTAATTGAGGAGGCCTAATTAACATAAGCTCTATAGTTTCGTTTAGGCCTCCTTGCCATCTCTTCCTACATTTTTTTTTGGGCATCTTTTTGTAATTATTGTAATCGTGTGGCAAATAAATAAAATACCTAAACACCTAAATGTAGCATGTCTGAGTCATAATAGTTGTGTTTGAATGAGTACATCCTCTTCCCTTTTTCTTGTAAGTAATGAAGGGTATTAAAGTGCTACTACAATCAAAATGTAATGTCAAGTTTGTTACAAAAACGCTTTCTTTTCAGCTTATCAGAAGTGGCTGTACCTGTTTCGGTCATTGAAGTGAACTTTGGCGCCCTCTAAGTGAAAATGTTGAGCTTGAAAACGTAGGTTGTTTGCGTCCGCCATTACAAATTTATGTTCCAGTGACAAAGCTATTGTTCTCTGATTGTGACGTCATTTTCTGAAAAACACCAAGAAAACAAACCTGAACCGTCAGAAAACAGCGAGCGATTCTCAAAGCTTCGCTCGTCTTCACCCGATTCTGGAATTGTGAAGGAGGAAATCATAGATTACAATGACTCTGTAGAACCGGCACCCACTGAATATGAGAAAGTTAAACACTAAGGGCAGCTAGCCTCAGAGAAGGAAAAAAACACACTTCACCAAGTCGTATTTTATGCAGTCTGTGCCGACGGAGAGTCGGACTACTGGTAGGTGTATTTGTATATGTATACATACTGGCTATAATAATAATAATACACAGGCAAGACAATCGAGAGTCAGCACCAATTTCACCTGCCTTCTAGCCACTCTCGAGTGCTCATTTATCAAAGTGAAGATAAAGTTTTGCTTTATAGCTCTTCAGGCACAGCGAATCAGAATGGGTACAGTTTTCAGTTCAGCTAAGTTTCAGTTCTGAAGCAGCCAGCTCGTTGTCATATGCATGTGCTTTTCTTTTACCATCTTAAACGGACTGCTGTCCTTTGTTATTGAAAATTTAATTATTACTTTAGTGTTGTGTATCTGAGCTGAGGATTTTAAAATTAGATCTGATGTTAAGTTCTCTTTGTCAGAAAAGTTAATTTAATCATTTTCAATATAAATAGTTAAATAAGGGGATCGCTCGCTCTTGATTTGGTATATCAATTTAGTAATTTTCAGTGCTGACGTTAAAGACTGTCACATTCTTTGTAGCTCATGTTTTTTTGAAAAGGCTGTGTCTGCCTATGCCTTCCCTATCGATTGACTGCAGATCATTATGCAACTTATAAATTGCAACACTAATAAAAATTCAGAGATTTCACCTCATCCAACTATTGTCAATGATATTCCCTTGTATTCCCATAACTTTTATAGATTACTTTATGAAATTGTTGTAAGTGATGTTTTTTTAAAATTTATTTATTATTCAAACCCAGGTGTGCATATTTTTGGATGCTCTCTTTACTGGGACCAGCTTTGAAGCTTTGGCTAGACAAGAAAATATATGCAGTGGAATGGTTAACACAGACATGTTATGATGTCTATATTATGTGCGTGTCCCTATTATCCGGGTGTCCATATTAAGTTAGCTCTCTGGAAAAAAGTCACAGACACGTGATTTAGTTGATATATAGCATAAAGGAACAAGGAGGAAGAAGGGTACCCTTGTAGAACCAGACATATGCAAAACCTATGCTCATGCTATTTGTTTACTATGTTGGACTATGTTTCAGCTATGTTATGTTCACTACTGCCTATGTATTAACTATGTAACACACCAAAAAACATAGTCCAAAGTATGCAAAATCTATGTTGAAACTATGTTTAGGCTATTTGAAAAGCACATAGCTTTTGAATACCTATGCAAATACTATTCAAAATCTTTTCATAGTCTTGACATAGCTATGTATTTACTATGCAATAGAAAGTTCTGCTTTTCCTTCCGATTAGCATCCTATGTATTCACTGTGCATCAAAGTAAAATAGCTTTTACATAGCATTTTGATCTTCACTTTTATTTCCAACAAGTTTCTTAGCTTTTACATAGTGCTATGTATATTCTATGCTATGTGATGAAACATATTTGCAGCCTATGTATTCACTATGTGACATTTTCATTTAGCTTTATCATGAGATAAAGGCTACATAGCTTTTACATAAACATATTTTTTCCTATGTCACTCATATGAAAAATATATGTAGTCTATGCGTTTCCTATGTGATATTCAACATAGCTTTTAAGTGACTAGGCATGTTGGTATCCGGTCGTTTCGCCTACGGCCTGTTCGCCTACGAATAGAGTCGATTCGCCTACGTCTTATATGTCAGTTCGCCTACGAGTCAGATGTTGAAGCTTTAAAGCTGAATTATTAAAAGTCCTTGTTCCTTGTATTATTCCTTCCATTATATCCTCGATGGCTAGAAAAACAACGAGCTAAAACATCTAAGTTCGAATGTTTTTAAAAACTTTATTATGGCGGAACCCAGTCGTCTACGAATAGAATGTGTGAAAGATATTTGTAAAACTGAGCATTAAGATGTGTATTAAAAAATGAAATTAACCACCGTTTACGGTCTTTGTGTGGTCGTGTAAAGCGCGAGCAGAGCAGTAAACAAACCACTGTTTACGGTCTTTGTGTAGACTTGTGAAGCGCGAGCGGCGCCTAAACTAAAGAAGGTGAGACTTTTCATTAACATGTACGAAATTAGCTTTGGCCGCACTTGACAGTCGGTTCAATTTCTACGTCGGTTTGGCGACTTGTTGAATCTTTTAACTCTATAAACTAGTTTATGTATGTAATGTGTCCGGGTATTCTGAGTTACTCCATTTCCGTACTTTCATCTAACAGACAAATAATATAAAAACTTAAAGCGTCCTTTGTGTAGACTTGTGACTTGAGCGGCGCTCATACTAAGGGAGGTGAGAGTTTTCATTAGCATACATAGTACTTACCACAAAATTGGCTTGTTCACACTACACGGCTTGATGTAACTTTTTATTTCGATGTTGCGGCTTGTTAAACCGATAATCATAGTCATATACTTCGGACTGAGTAAGAGAAATAAACGTTCGTGTTCACGTTTAGACTTGGTTCTATTAACCAAGGTTTAGATTAAAGTAACAACCTACACAAAAGAAGGTGGGACTTTTCCCATTAACACGATCAATTCCAAAGGACATTGTTTAACGTAGATCAATTAGCAAAGGATTACCAAATAATATTAGCATTCACCAATCACAACGCTGCGATTTCGATCCATCGGACAAGGCATTGACAGTATAAAAGCCCTGGTATTTTATTCTCATGTCACCAGTTCGTTAGAACAACACTATTCGAGAAGTCAATCTACGCTAATCATCATCGATATCATGGAGGAATTTTACTGTATCTTTTGTGCTGAAATCGTAACCTCCCGCCAAGAGGCCCTACTCTGCGGCGGATGCGACAGATGGCAACACCGTCGTTGTCACACTGGCGTTGACCGAGCCACATATCGACAGGCAGTAAGGACCGGCCAGGACATTTTATGGACTTGCATCTATTGTACAGACGAGACACCAGTACCGGTTGCTGCTAGTTCGATGATCAATACAGGTATATAATTTTTTTGTTATCTCTTAAGGTTGATTTCCAGCACTGTGTAATTTTAAGGCAAAAATGTTTCATGCGCTATATTGAATGATTTAATCATTGAAGTAACTAATAGCTAATAAATGTGCTTAAAACCAACAGACTCGAGTACGCCTTCTGCTCTACCAGAGTTGTCTTTACCCGTTTCATCGCCATCAGACCTCGGAACAGTCATGGAAGTGACTATGTTCTCTGCGCCGCCAAGCCCTCCATCGGGTACAAGGATTGAGGAAGGTAACTATATATATATATATATATATTGAAAGATACGGAGGGTTTAAAAAAAATACGTGCGCCTCAGCGTTCAGGCACAGACCCAGCCCCTCCGCAATCTTACCGACTACATCCAGGAGCAGTGGATTGAGAGCACCATCTTCACCCCAAAAGATTGGAGTGTCTTCAAGCAGCCGATCCGGACAAACAACGACATAGAGGGGTGGCACAACGCTCTGAACCGCCGAGCCGGTGGCCAATGCAGATTACAGTTTTACCTCTTAATCGAACTTCTTCATCGAGAAGCCCGCTTAACGTCAATAACAATCAAGCTTGTTTCAGACAAGAAGTTGAAAAGAATACAGACAAGGAAGTACAGGCAACTCCAACAGAAACTATTCGACGCCTGGGAGCAGTACCAGACAGGCAATAAGAGTGCTTCACAATTACTCCGCTGCTGTTCCCACTTGAATGGACCTGCTCGTTGCCAGTAAGACTGAAATAGAGAACTTTGATATTTTTAACAGCAACGTCAGAAGTTTAATAGTAAAGGTTAAGTTTAGGTTAAGTTACACATTAATTTAGGTAGAACTTATGATCGCAAAGTCGATAAGCATCGAAGTGAAGTTAAGTCGAGTTTAGTTAAAATAAGCCAGTTGAATGGACCTGCTCGTTGCCGGTAAGACTGAAATAGAGAACTTTGATATTTTTAACAGAAACGTCAGAAGTTTAATAGTTAAGGTTACATTTAGGTTAAGTCACACATTAATTTAGGTAGAACTTATAATCGCAAAGTCGATAACGATCGGAGTTAAGTCGAGTTTAGTTAAAACAAGCCGGTTAAGTTTAGGCTAAGTTTTCTTCGGTTGTCTTTCCTTTAGGTTAACTTGCACATTAATTGGGGCAGCTAAGTTTAGGTAGAACAAGGCTGGAATTTCGAACTTAAGGTGGCGAAATAGATAAGCATCGAAGTTAAGCAAGGGTTACATGTGAATTATTTTATCAAGAGGCGGGTGTCATTAGGACAACCCACACGTTCCCGCATGTAATAAGTGTATTAGAATTAACACAGAGTGCGGAGGAATAACATGTTTTTGACGGTTTGATTGTTGATTATACAGAAAACACAGGCGAATTGTACGATCGGCTCGGTAAACTTTTCGCTTCGCCTACCGTCACAAAGAACTCCGCTGCGCCCTGTGGAAATAAACGCGAATGATCTGTTGTTTAAGGGGCAGGTGTCACTCGGATAACCTAAACGTCCCCGCATGTAATAAGTGTATTAGAATTAAAATGTCGTGAAATGAGTCACTTCATGGTTAATGAGTGTAATTGGAGAACCGTGTAATTCGCAACTCAGAATATGCGATATTTACATAACTTGTTTTTACTCGAACGACGATGAATCAAATTTAAGGAAAACGAACGCTCGTTATTTACAATTATTTAACTTCGATAGGCTTGACTTTATGAGTCACGCTCTAGGAATTGAATCGACTGACTAGGATCCGAGCGCGATCGCACATAAAGTAGATGAATAAACTGTGGTAACACATGTTTTAACACGTAGGCGAACTGACATATGAGACGTAGGCGAATCGACTCGAACCGTAGGCGAACAGACCGTAGGCGAAACGACCCGTAGGCGAAACGACCCGTAGGCGAAACGACGGTAATTCGGCATGTTGATGGTAGCGCTTACAGAAGGCTAAGCATACTTCCAAAGTAAAAAGCAGTGTTTTAAAGTAAAACGCTGAAAAATCATGTACTATAATTTTTTTTTGTGCTTGCAGATAGTTTCTTAGTGAGAAGACTTTTGTTAAGCATTGAATCGCTACATCCATCATCCCTGTCTTAACTTTCCTTTCTAGCTTTTCCCTAGAGTTCTTCACTTGAAATGATACTTCCATGCATCATTTTCTTCTTTTACATTGGGTTCGATCCTTCGTCTTGATTGTGGACGTCTCCTGAATATAACTGCAAGGTCAAAACTGCGAAACGATACCTGCCTCGGTGCCTCGGTGGATGTTTGTCAGCCATTTTGTTTCCACTAGTTCCCAGGGAAGCCCGTGAGTTCAACACATGCGTATTTTGCGTTTTATCGTCACGTGGGCCTTTTCAACCAATGAAAAGGGTGTGAAAATTGTCTGTTCCCACGCGGGCGCATTCAAGTCAAAGAAGACGAGCTGTAAGCGTGCGTTTTTACGAGAAGACGCTTCTTTTCACTTCAATTTACAGTCTTTTTCCTGCCAGGTTCAACAAAAAGTATTCCTAACGTTGGTAAGTGATGTTTTTCTCAATTAAGTTTCGATTTGCCTGTGTTGTCTCCCCTTTTCGCGTATCTGAACAAGGATCGGTCGATCACGCTTTGATACTCCTTCGTTTCAATTCTAAAACGTCAGGTTGTTTTTATGTTCATTTGCCTTAAAATCTCCACTTTTCTGTTTGCAGATACTTATTCGTTGCAGTCAAAAGGAAACTGTATGGCACTGAAGAGCACGACATCAGCAAAAAGTCTACACGATAAGCAAACTTAAACTTGGAGTTTCGATTCTGAAACCTCCATGAAAATACTGCATTTGAGTTACTATTAGTGTTCGTGGTATTATATTGCCATAGTTTTTCAATTTTTCGTTTCAAAACCTATTTCTTACCAATGTAAAAGGTATTCTAATTCCTATTTTTATACTATTTTTACTATTTTGGTGATTTTTACGAACGTATTTTAAACACTACATTTGCAGATCGAAACCTACATACATAAGAGACTATGTCAATTCTATGTAATTTCTGTTTGAACTCTAGTTAAAGCTTGTGTATGTGATATGTTTTACCTAGTCAAATACTATTAAAATCCTATTTCAAACCTATGCAAAGGCTATTTGTTCCGTGTTTTCCCTATTTTAATGCTATGCAAAGTATATGTCACCTTTAAAAAGGCTATGTTTTTCATATGTTTTTTCTATTTCTAGGCTATCTAAATTCTAAGCAAACCCTATTCAAAAGCTATTTAATCAACTGTTCCCTGTTCCATTTTACTATGTAAACTCTATTTCAGTCCTATGTGAAGGCTATTTATTTTCTATGATTTTTCTATGAGGTTGACTATGAAGTCTAAAATCTCTTTCCACAAGCTAAGTAACCTGTATGTATAGGCTATGTGGAAACTATGTCATTTCTTCCATTATTCCTACCTTTAAAAACTGCATAGCTTTTAAGCAGGTTCCGTTTGACTAGCGAAAACATAGCATTTTCGATACAAAAAACATAGTCCTGGCATAGAAACAACATAGGATCTGGTTAAAGCAATGTATGAGTGATTAACATAGGTTTTGCATAGCTTTGTGACATAGCATTTGCATAGATTCTACATAGTGTCTGATTCTACAAGGGTAGGAACAATGACTGTAGCAAAAAGCCAAGGATATGAAACTTGTTGAGTAGGAGGCAGAAAATTTATCAAAGGACTACAAACAGGGGAAAAAAGAAAGACGTATCAAAATCAAATGTGTCATGCTATTTGGCTGCAGATGTTTTGGTAATAAGATCTTATTAAACTGTGAACTTGGTACAATGTCTACAATTGGCACATCATTGTGACAAGAAAAATAGAAAGTGCCTGGGTAACCAGTGTCTGTAAAGCTGGATTAAGAATATATAGGAATTTCTGACTTGAAACACAGAAAAGTGGTTGTTGTCCACATTAACTACTGGGCCTACTCAGTCGGTTAATTTTAAAGAAAAAATGTATGCTTCTCCTCAGGACAAACAAAACTGCCTGTTATATACGGGTGTCCAATTAAGCAGGTGTCTGTAGATCATAGAGTGGCTTATCACTGCATTAATAAATTATTATTTGCAACTAACCTAATGTATTGAAAAACTAAATGGTTCAGTACATCACTAGGTTGCATGATTCTGCTGATAACACAGTGTGCCATAAATTCACTTGCCTCTAGGAAGAAGTGTTACACAGGGGAAATTATGTTCATCATTGGGGCCCATCCTTGATTGTGCTATGTGGGTTTTTCTTGCTGGTTTTTTCCATTGTAAAATATTATTAGAAACTAGCATTTTTAAGAGTTAAAACCTCTAAGAGGGCCTGGGAAGCAGTTTTTAACATGTGCGGGCTCGTGACCACCTACATTGAGGTGGGGGAGCGCAAATTTGGCTGTTCACTCTTTATGGCTGTTTAGAACTGTCAGATTACTGAACCTTTCTTGAGTCATTGTTGAGCAGAGTCATGTTCATAAATTTCAAGCTGCTGAAAAGTACCTTTCTCCTGCTGAGTGTGATTGCACATGCTGAATTGACCATTAGAAGTTTGCAGATCATGATATTACACTGTAGGTTCCAGTAACGTCGTCATTTTGTCTAGCATGTCATTGAAATGTGCCAGAGGGCACATTATCAGCTGATATAATTCGTTTTAAGAAACCGTAGTTCATGGAGAAGTCTTCAGATTTAATCAAGAACCTTCATCAAAAAAGACTATTCCGCATTGTTGCAAATGCTACATAGCTTTGGTTTGAAAATGCAGAAATCTACGACGATTGACTTTTTGAGGCTTCCCATGCATCAGACTGATGGGATCAAAACGGATCAATAATAAATTTAGATGTTGGAAGATTCTTATTCCAACAAAGATACTATTCATATGAAAATGTATATTACAATGGCACCTCTATATCGAAGTCCTTGGTCTAACAAACTATTTTTTTTTACTCCAGTATACTATAACTATAATTATTATAAGTATTTAATGCAAGATTGCAAAACGTTTCATTATTCACTCAAAAGAATAACAATACACACCATTCAAGATAATATCACAATTTTATTTTAAAGACCACATCACTAAATGGTAATAATTCTTGCTGTATTTTACAAAATTGCAAAAACAGTTTTTACAATAAACTTGTCTGGGCTCTCTTGCTTCAGCTTGTGGTTTGAACTGACAATGTGTCTGTGCAGTTTAAATAAGACTGAGTTTTGGGAAGACTAAAATTGAAAAAAGCATATCTTTTGTTTAGTGAGGGTTATGGCGACAAGAATGTTGGAAATACTAAGGAATTTACTGTATATTAAAATATCTTTCCGGTCACGCTAGTGTGATGCAAAAATGATAGTGTCTTACTTCCACTTGACGGGGAAAGGTACGGTATGTGCTCTGGCCACCATGTGGGTCATACTCGGGCTTCCCCCAGTTCGGGCTTGTATAACCTGTAATCAAGAAGGTGGTTAATTTTTGCCTTTACCGTTAAATTTTCTTTGCATAGTCACGTAATTGTTGATAATGCAACTTAACTTTTATAACAAACTCTCGAATTTTGGTACTTTTTCAATTTGTAGATCGTGTATACACCCCTGAATTGACTCATCATTATTAAATTTATGGTCAACGGTCATTGGAAATGATTTTTGTCCGGGCACTTACTTTTCTTGACAACCCACCCCCAGTAAAAAAGTCCTGGATCCGCCCCCTCTGATAGAAGCACAGTAAAAACCCGAGTAAAAACCTAGAAAGTAAGAACCTGTTATTCAAAGATTGTCCATTTTTATGCAATACCAAAAATAGAACCAAAATAGGCACACGCGGGTTAATTTTTACTGTATTTTAGAATTAACTGTAACTTTCATTGATTATACCTTCCTTTCCTAATGTAACACAAGATGCTGCTATAGCTCGTAAGTCTTCTACCTTGAGATTTTTTCCCTTAGCGGGAAGAGAAAATGGTAGAATGGAGCTGTCAGATGTTCAGTGGGTTCCCTCTGACCTTCGAACAAAAGAAAAAGCTTTTCATTAAATTGTCACAATACAATAAAGTCAATCAAACACACAGGGTTCAGACAGGAGTTATTTGTGATATCAAGCTCTGGAAAACCGATGAAGGTTATGACTGCGGAACAACGTCTGCCGCGTCAAACACGACATTGACACGTGGCTGATCTGAAATGGCATTATTGAGCCTGGATTAAACCAACTTCGAACCCTGCATGTTCACTCACCTTGTTGATTCCTCAAAATAGCTCTGAGGAATTGCCTTTGGACTGTACTTGGGAATAATAAAGTTAGTTATTATTAATGTAGTATACACAAAAAATAATTCATTCTACATTGCTTTGAAACTTCTACTAATGTAATGCACATAAATTTACTTTTTGCTTTATTACCTTCACATAATACTGCTCCACCCCTTAGGTAGATCACAAAGGCTGGATTATTAGTTTCAGAATGCCACTTGTTCAACTGTCAAAAGAGGTAAAATACAGTCAAAAACAACAGAGTTAAACTTTTTGTTGTGATCCAGTTACAGCTTTTCTATTCACTTCTATTCCATGGTTAGCGTAGCTATAAACTATACTGTGCATGCAATTTTGTGCAAACAATCTTTGAATAAAATAGCCAATGCAAACAAAAAAAGTGTGTACCAGCTACGGGATGGACCATTAGAAAAGTGATAGGGGGGTGGGGCAAAAGTAAAAAAAAATTTCCCCAGGGTCGTTTTAATTTAAAAAAATATTCCTACGGATTCTTGCCAAAAAATATATACACCCAACGACGAAAATAAGATTTCAACCTAACATGGACAAAAAAACATCTTGAATCTCTTAAAATCCCCACCCCCCAACCCCATCACTTTTCTAATGGTCCATCCCAAAGTCAAAGAAAGGAAAGACGAGTCCTGATTCAAACCACTCAGCGCCAGGGCCCAATTGCATAAAACGGCCGTAACACTTACGGGTATACTTTGTAATAGGTTTACCCGTATTAAGGATGCTGCATTAATCAGCTAAGTTGTCCATTTATAACGAAAGAACTTAAGATGAGAGCTTTTTCATGAAAGTTTTTGGGCCACTTTTGAGGTGTTCAGGAGCATTACTTCCGGTGGAAACGCCACGCGGCCTTTTTCTCACAGAGAAATACTTGAAGTCACTGTTTTAATCACAAGAACGTCCTGTTTAAGGGAAATGGCAAAAATGCAAAAACAGGAAAATTATGTCCAAAAAATGTAATTTCGTGGGACACACGGTTCATTCATTTCTGAAGGTTTTATTGAAACGAAAAACCATGCTTAAAATGTTTCGTATTGAAGGAACACGACAATAAGCTCTGGTCACACTACAGCTCCCCTCTAGCTTTTTCCAATATTTCTTAATTATGGATACAATATCGATTTATTTTGCACTCATAGCTGCACAAGGAACAAAACTGTTGCAGAAGTGTCACTAAAATTACCCGGTAAAAGCTACAATACATACCCGTTTCCTGGTTTGCTTTGCAAACTTTGCATTTTTCCGCTTTCTTACTTGTGCAGGGTCTTTGTCTTCCCTTGGTCTCTGCCAATGAACAGTGATTCGACCAGTTTATGCTACTACATTTTTCAATGAAGAGACGAAACACTTCTTTCAACCTTGGAAGCTGCACAAATAGCTAGTCAAATTTAACCTTACAATGCAACGCTGACATATTTGTGAAAGCTGACGCACGAATAGAGGAAAACTGTCGGCGGACTATCTCCTATCTGCAAGGTTAGTCTTGCCCAAAGCTTCAGCTGGAAGAAACTGAGTAATCAGAAACATACAAGAAGAACAACTTTATGCTGAATGCGGGGCAAGATAAAGGAATTTCTATTTATCAAACTTACTTTGTATGTGTCCCTCTCTATTAGAAACCTATCTTAACAAGGCAAATTATATTATGTAAGAAAAACTGGCAAAAGTTTTTAGCGTCGCAGGTTTCCATTTTGAAGACAAATTAAAGCCCATGTACTTGGTAATTTATTCAAGGTTTTTAGACTAGACATCACATTCGCACGGGGAGTTTGCCACTTGGGGATAAAGATGAAGAAATATGACAATCGTCTTATTCTTTTCATTATCCCCAATGGCAAAAAGCCCTCGTGCAAACGTGATGGCAAATCTTTCAAACTCGAATAACTAACCTGATACAAGGGTTTTCGTTGCAGCTGAAAATGGATGGGTTGAAGTACTATACTAGAGTTGGTGGCTTTATTTCTCCTCAAGACGGGAACCTTCGGTGCTAAAAACTGCTTTGTTGAAATTTTTTGCGAAAAGAGAAGGGAAAATACACAGTAAATTTGATAAATAGAAGTTATTTCATCTTGCCCGGCCGGCATTTAGCATAAAGTTGTACTTCTTGTATGGTGAACTGTATTACTCAATTCCTTGCAACTGAAGCTTTGGGCAAGAATACCCTTGCAGATAAGAGATAGTCCGTTGGCAGTTGTCCTCTATTTGTGTGTCAACTTTCACAAATGTGTCAAACTGGCATTTGCATTTTTTGTTGCATTTTAAGGTTAAATTGGACCAGCTATTTAAGCAGCGACTTCTACGGTCATGATTCACTTCAAACTTGCAGATATAAAACTAGAAAGCCCTGATGCTTATTTGGCTACGTTAAAGAAAAATCTGTCTTGAGGTTTTCAAGTTATTGACATTTTTTGTAAAAATGCAGTTTTAATCATATACCGATATCTCAAACGTTTTTATACCTATAGGAAAATAAATAGCATTTATTTAAAGTTCGACCATTCCCTAAATAATTCTTGCCGAAAAATAAATAACACAAAAATAAAGAACATAACAAATAAATAAATAGGTTCTGGCCACTAGTTTTTGAGAGTGGTGAAGTGTGTTTTGCGAATATGATACATATTCTTGTCAATAAACCTACTTTTTTACTGTAGCGGAATCTAACAAATAAGTATGGAAGTCAGGTAGGTTAAAATGCTCACATTTTCACGAGTGAAAGCTACTGTACTCTTACGACGCTCTTACCATTGCACCACAGGAAGCCAATTGTAGTACAAAGTGATAATTGGAGGCGTTTCTCCATTCACAGAAATGCAGAAAAGCGAACTCTGGAGCGAATTCCTCCTTTCTGTTTCTTGGTCTTTATTATCTCACCCCCATTTTACTCTCACTCGTACTAATGAACGTTTTCCATAGCAGCTTTTAAAAAAACGCCCTATTGGGGGTGGTCTACGGCCTACAATGGTCTTCGATCACTACATGTATGCACTTTTAAGATCTGTTCTTCTTTTCACTCAAAATATACCTAATGTAAATTAAATGGTGATAATTTTATTCTCGTTTGAAAAAAGTCATGAAAATCAATTTTTCATAGTTCATGTTGAAATGTATCGATTCACGCACCAAAGTGGCGCCTTGCCAGCAAGCATGAAAATAGCTAATTTTTTTGTCGGCTTCCTTCGCGCAAGTGGGCTTGTTTGATTAACTATGACACCAAGCGGAAGTTTTTTCCAGATCTCCTGTGAATCGCAACACGGCTACAGTCATTTCCAGGCTATATCTGTTACTGTGCACATGGCACAAAATAGCTTGCACAGCAAGCGCTTTAAGCGAAGGTGATAAGCTCGAGACTAGCGCAAATCAAGAGACGAAGGGAGGAGAGTCACCAGTCCATAATTCTGGCTCTTCGCACATTCACTACAGGAACGTCAACTGGTGTACAATTGATTAATTGATGCCGCGTTTTTAGAAGCTTTATTCTCTTGATTCTCTTAGATTGCTTGCGAGATGTGATTATCAGATTATGATCCCGTGTTGTAGTTATTTCATGCCGGTGTTTCAGGTGCCAAAAAAGGTGATAGTCGTAGCATTTTGATTGGTTCTTTTGACATCACCGCTGTCAGTTAATAATATTAGGGAGCTTAAGTTTTTGAGCCACGGACATCAACCTGAAGTGGGTTTTTGCATCACTGGGCAGTGATTTGGTTGAAAATCTCGGGTAAACAGTCTTTGTAAGAGAAAAGAAAGTTAGCAATATAAATCTGTTAGCGTCAAGGCATATAAAAAGGAAGAAGGGCTCAAAAACGTCTTTGTTTAGAAAGCTCCCTAATTATGTGTGTAGTAGGTGGCCGGAAGAGCCAGAACAAAGGAATAATAAAAGGCGCTTTACTCTACTTCGTCTCGCGATTTGCGCAAAATGTTGCGTTTGCCTCGCTTGGCCTTTTTATCTGTTTATCTGCATGCTAGAAAGAAAAAACGACCAAACAAAGGCTTCCAAAAACAAAAGTAATATGTGGCAACACAAAGCTAAAAGACATTCCCTCAAACCTCAATGGTCGCCCCTTTATAACTGTCAACCTGACAAGGAGAGTTTTCAAGAGGGGTGTCAAATCGCTTTACAAATTAAATAGCAATGTTGACTTACCTTGGGAGCCATAAGGACTTGATCGCAGACGTTCTGTATCTCTCGTGCTGTAGTCTCCTAATGTTGTAGTCTTTGCAGGTAGCTCGCTACTGTGTACCTGAAACCAGGCCTGGTACGTGAACCATCATTCATCATCGTGTGACCTCTGCTGACGTAATTGAAAAAGATGACGCAATTTTCTTGCTGACTGGTATAAACATGGCAATTCTCATGTTCACAGCATGACAACTCTTTATAAAAAGGGCAAGGGGGTGGTACTTTGAGCAAGCCGTCTATCCATACACTAGCCTGCGCTCTTAATTTTCACGTCTCAAAGTAAGTGAAAACCTGGTTTTTAAGTCGTTTCTAACATGTTTCAGAAAATACAGGTCCTTATATAATTTAAAATAAAATTTCTTTTGGAGTGTATTGTTTTTTAGTCAAGGCTGATAGCAGTTTGATTGATGGCAAAATGATTGTCGGAGTGCCGCAAAAAAACCAGAAAGTACTCAACCTAGTATTTTATTTTTGTAGGATGATCTTCATCACCAAAATACATCTCCACTTAAACGTAAAGAGACAAATTCAGAGTTTGGTATGTACTGTACATATTTGATCAGTTTAGCAGGGCAAGAATAGGGGGAATAGTACTCTGATAGACCTCTGACAAAATAAACGCGCTTATTGAGAACAAGAGAGAATCATGTATTAAAAAAGAATATACCACAAATTTATTCTCAGTAATTTTGTACGTTAGATATTTCGCAGCTAAACAATGAAGTACAATGAAGTATGTTTTAAGACACCACCACATTGTTCCTGGTCGTGCATGTAACCATTCCTATTTTTACATTGTTTCAAAATGACATATTCGACACATTCATGCCAAGGTATCAGGCTCGGCACAACGCCATATCCAGAGGTTAGGTGGTGTTAAGCATACCATTTTAGTTGGTCTAAACAAAAACCTAATACCATTATACAGTTTGTTATTGTATACCCGAGGGTTTTCCCTTACATAAACCATATAGGTTTAGGCTGCCACATCGGGTAGGGTTTTTGGGCCTTTTAGG